CAGTTATTTCCCGAATTCATGGAAGAAAGCCAATGTTATATGTATTGCTAAGCCGGGCAAAAACAGCGCAGAACTGAGCGCATACAGACCCATCAGCCTTTTGGATTCGTTGGGCAAAATTTTTGAAAAATGTGTAAAGGATAGAATACAGGATTTCGTTTCTGACAAAAACGTGATTCAACCAGAACAATGTGGCTTCATACCTGGCTATTCCACAAATCATCAACTCAAAAGAATTACTTCTATGATTGAGACTAATTTCCGGGCGGGGGAGTCTACTGGTATGTTACTACTTGATATTAAAAACGCGTTCAAGTCGGTGTGGCACAACGGATTAATACATAAGCTGTATACACGAGAATTTCCGGTGTACTTGATTAGGTTGGTACACAGCTTCCTGTAAAATAGAAACTTCAGGGTCATTGTGGGTAGGGCGAAGTCCGATTCTTACTTATTGCTAAGTGGTGTGCCACAAGGTTCCTGCATGAGTCTAATTTTATATTATATTTATATATCGGATATGCCTGTTCCTGTAAACTGCCAATTGGGACTGTACGCGGATGACACGGCCATTATTTCTTCAGATGTATCACCGATGGATATTGTATATAATCTGGAAAATGCTTTCGAAATAATAAATAGTTACTTCAATGATTGGAAGATATTTATCAATACGTCTAAAACGGTCAATAAATGTGACCGTTTCTGAAACAGTCTTTCAGATTGTTTCAATGTTGTATGGGGCGCCTGTTTGGGGTAATTGTGCTAGGTCTCATATGAACAGGTTGCAGGTGAAGCAAAATAAAATTTTGAAAATGATGTATGATCTTCCCTTTTATTTCTCGACTGAGGCTCTGCACAATAATGCGGGCGTTGGTAAAATCTTTGAAAAGGTTGATATTATAAACCAAAAATTTGTGGGTTTCGGTTAACACATCCTGTATCTAATATTAAATCATTGTTCAAAATCATTAATCAAAATTATAAACTTATAAATAGATCTGTTCAAATGAACAAACATAGTTATTAAATATTTATTTTAAGTTAGCGTGTAGGTTTTATCTTATAGTTTATCAAGGTTTTTTTCAAATTTTTCTTGTACCTAATCTTTATCCCTTTTTGTAAAATCTAGTTTAATGTAATGTACATATTATACATTTATGTTGCAAAGGATACTTTCCTAAATCTCATAAAAAAAAAATCTGCTTTGTAATTGTTACTAAAATTTGTTTTTGGAAATAAAGAAACTTAAACTTAAACTTAAACTTAAGATAGCCAATCAAAAAAAAACTTTATTATAGCAAAATTTATTGGTAGTCAAACCAATTGGTACCGTTAGTGCGCGTTACTGCAACCAGTATAGCGTATAAAGCCGACACCGTTAGTGTGCGAAATTTCTTTAACCTTCTTTTCCTTTTTTTTTATTATAAATCACAATACAATTATTCACAGTTTCGAGTCCACAGTTTTAAATTGTTTTTATATTATTTCCTTATTTTTTTTTGAATTCATATTCTTAGGATTACAATTTTCAAATAATTCTCATTTTATTCCGAAAATCACAACTCCTTAATAAAATTCCGTATGTACCTCAAAGAAATAAAAGCTTAATAAATTTTGGCACCGTTAGTGCGCGTAATCCACTTAATTTTTTTGTGAATACAAATCAAAGTTTTAGCATATAATTTTAAATTTTTTAACACAGTTAATTTCATTTTATTTAAAAAATTATAGTTTGCTAGCAAATATTTTACTGATATTCAAAAAAATATTGTCTATAAATTTGGCACCGTTAGCGCGCGTAATTTATCCAAATTTTTTTTTCTTTTTGAAACTATAGCCTCGTTTTATTTGCCCTAAAATAGATTCGGCACCGTTAGTGCGCGTAATCGACACCGTTAGTGTGCGAAATTGCAACCACTTTTTTCGTATCAACTTGAATTTGATAATTTATAATTTTAAGTTCATTTTTTTTTAGGTAATTCTTTCCTTGTTTTACAAACAGTAATATATAAATAGAAAGTGCATATTTTAAAAAATACCTGTACAATACTCTATAATTTACCGTTCACATTTAAATTTATAGTACAATTCACTTTTAATACTTTCCCTTATTTTTAAAGTTTATAATTATTAAATTGATATATGCAACAAGTAAGAAAAACACTCTGTCCCTTAATGTAATAAAATTAGACTTTTACATTACCTTGGTTTCCAGTGCTATCCTTGAATTTATTGTAATATTTATTCTGTTATTTTGTTCGCCAATAAATACCAGCTATCCGGCTCGAAGGACCAAAATGTTCCGTGCTAAAGGAACCCGCTAAGAAAAGGAAGAAACATCTGAATATGTTGCAGCTATCGAACTCTTCAATTTCTCCTTTTCACAAATTATTGGATCTGCAGTATTTATTCTTTTTGTCGAACAAATCATACATAAAACCCTTAGTTTTAATTTTATCTTAATGTAAAATTTAAATATCACTCAATAAAGAACACATTGTTCCATTTGTTCATTTCAGTTAATTTATTTACAATTAAGTCAATATTCACTATTACGAATTAATGTCTATTGTCTGTATATATTATTATAAATGTATGAAACAACACTTTTTCATTTAAATAAAATTTATATTTATAAAACAAATCATTGCCTTTTAACAAATTTCGAATTTATATTATTTTATAATTGAATACAATTTAACACAAACTAATGTTTTAGGAAATTAGAATTTAATACTTTTAATAAAATTTAATTTAAGTTAAACTTTAGTAAAATATAATATGATGATACTCGTTGGTTGAATACTTGTTTTCGAATGAATTCTGGAAAAAAAGCGTCCTTGTTTCTTATAATGTTTAAAAATAGTGGTACCTTTTTGGCTCCAAATCTTGCCATCATCGTACCTTTTCTTGTTAACTTGCCTTTTATTAAATACACCGCAATCTGCTATTGCAATACTCTTTTTACCTTAATTCATAATGCTATAATACATACATATGTACTCGTATGTACACAATCAATTGCTACATTAACAATTAGTGCGTTGACGTATTTATATACTTTACATGATCATATGTTCAATATTATTATATACCTTTCTTTTTTTAACAGCATAACTTTTTGTTATGTTATTACGCATGACCTTTTAGTTCTGCCAATCTGTTATTATTATCATAACAGAGAATTAATATATGACTATTTTTATCCAAATTCACAAATTGTGCCATTCACAATAGATTTTGATTTGTAGATGGAATCTACATGTAATAATTTTGCGTTGACATAGTGACCCAATTATTTTGACAATTATTAAACTAAATAAGCTTTCGAAGCAGATGAATAAACTTGGTAAGTATATTTTATTTTTAAATTCTAATGCCATGATTATTAATTATATCTTTCTTTTTGCAGGAAATTAAAGATGACTAATTAATTAATGTTTTAAAGCAGAGATGGTTTGCTAAGCAGCAAGTAGATACCAAATTTCATCGCAGGTAACTTGATTTCCAATTCAATTTTTGCATTGTATGTGTGCTCATGCGTATTATTTATTTTTCAGGTTAATATTGCATTAGAGTATAGGTATGAAAATATCAATACAGATCCGAGGACCAAATAGGCTTTATTGTTGTTCAGATACGTATTTCATAATTTTAATTCTATAAAGGTATATTTCTTTGTGTTTTTTTTTATCTCACTTTAGGTGCAGGTGAAGCCGAAACAATTTCATCGTAATATGTTTTGTTCTTATCTGTCCGGTCATCCTCTCTGAAATTGGTCACATGTTCCTGAAGGAGATGCTTATCCGTTATTTGTTTGTTAACCGCCTTTTCCATATTTATATCCGTTTAAATATTTTTATACTCGCTAGAAAGATTAACCCGAACCCGATTTGCTGTAAGATATTATTGAAACCGGTATAAATCTTTTTTATACTTCTTGAATAAATCTAAAAATAACAATATAATTATTATTTAATATAGCCAATCAGTCTCTCTTCGACTTTGTTATCAAAAACACTTGTTCTGTATTTCTCTTAAATACGTCTTATAAGATAACGTTACTTTCTAATTATCTAGCTTATTACTTTTAATTATCATTAATTGTAATAAGAATAAAGAAAATAAGAACAAAGGGGAAAAGAAAAAAAAATTTTTTTTTATTCTGATGTAAACCGGTTTTGATATTTTACTTAAACTAATAAAATTTAAAATAAGTAAAAATAAAAGAACTCTTTCATCTGATGATGAATTTGTGGGTTTTAAAAAAAACAAAATTAATTCAGACGAAATGACCTTCAAGGATAAATCACCAAACATAATTAATTCAAACGAAATGGCCTCGAAAGATAATTCACCACGTGGTAATACAATTGCATTGGGCATAAACAAGAATAGATTCTTGCCGTTAAGTCAACTTATTGATGATACTGAATCTATGGAAGCTGAACATAACAATATTATTAAACAAAAACGTAATCCACCTCTTAACAGTATCTGACCATTGATGCAGTGGTTATGGCACCGGTCCTTTAACCGAAGGGTCTCGGGTTCAAACCCCGGTCAGGTCACTATAAAAATTATATTCAATATTATTATAACTTAATATACTATGCTCCTTCTAGGAGTGAATAAGGAAAAAAAAAATTAAAAAAAAACCTCTTATTATAGGTGAAAGTGGTATTAAACATTAAAAAATTGCTGAATGCTTTGGAAATTGCAGAATATTCAATCAAAAATACAAGTATTGGCATTAAGGTTTTCTGTACTAAGGTAACAGATTATGAGAAATTATGCAATGAACTTGTACAGGAAAATTTTTATTAAATTTTATTAAATTTTTATTAAATTAATCATACATTAAATTTTTTGGGCACGACACTTCGGAAAAGAAGCCATTAAAGATTGTTCTTTATGGTTTACATTTGATTGATACCAAAGACTTACTGAAAGAATTTGAATTAAATAAAATTAATTGCTGTTCTGATATTAAAACAATGAACATAAGAAATTTAAGATATGATAACCAAGCAACATACTTACTATATTTTAGACGCGGTAGCATCAAACTCAATGATTTAAGGAAAACATGCAAGACACTTTTTAATACAATAGTATACTGGGATTTCTACCGCTCAAATGGAAAAGGTCCCACGAGATGTTTTAGGTGCCAAGCTTATGGACATGGTTCAAAGTGGTGCTATTTAAGTATTAAATGTATCATTTGTGCAGAACCCCATGATTTTAAACAGTGTCCTGAATTTAACATACACAAAAATAAAGATGAAACAACTAATTACAGTGCAAATTTCATGGAATGTCCAGCGAGAAAGCAATACATCGAACTTCAGAACAGCTTGAAAAGGAAATTTCATGGTAGCAACAAACCACCGGTCAAGCTAAGTCGTAATTTTTCAGTCAACTCAGAGAATTTCCCATCATTGCCAAGTAAGCGTTAAAATCTTAAAACAGGTAATACCAATGTCACCAATCATGTCAACAAAACAGATAATAATTATGTCAGATTCACTCATTCTAAATTAAATTCACTTAATTCTAGTATAAGTTATTCAGATATTTCCAAATTTAATAATGTTAATAACTCTAATTTGTTTTCTGCTAACGAACTGATTAATATCTTTAAGGATATATTAACTAGTTTAAAAAATTGTGAGTCAAAAGAAGATCAAATTTCAGTGCTTGCACAAATAACTATTAAATATATTTACAATGATTAATTTTAATAAACTTAAGGTTATTTTTTGGAATGCTCAAAGCATAGTCAATAAAAGCAAAAATATTGAATTTTTTGATTATTTGAAAGTAGAAAAAATTGATGTGGGTATGTTAACTGAAACCTGGTTACAAAAAAAAAAAAAATTTTACAATGCGAATTACGCTTGTTATCGGGTCGATAGGGAAAGTCAATCTCATTGTGGTGTAGCTTTAGTGATCAATAAACAAATTAGGCATAAAATGCTCCCATTACTCAAAACTAAATGTTTCGAATGTGTTTGTGTTAATGTGATGTTCGATGACTGTGAAATTGTCGAACTAATCGCAACATCGGTGTGGCTCCTATTCCTTACCGGCTTAAACAAATTATTCAGGACAGAAACAATGTGAGGCGGCGCTGGCAAATCTCACGCGACCCAGCTTTGAAACGGAACCTAAATTTTCTAAATAAATGTATTTCGAGTGAAATAGTGGCTTTATCTAAAAGGAAATGGTCATCTAAGTTGCAAACATTGGAAAAATCGTCGAGGCCTTTGTGGAACTTACCTAAAATCTTGAAGGGTAAACGCAAAAGTATTCCCGTAATTGGGGTCCAGGATGGATCTTTATTCACAGACCAGGAAAAGGCCAAAGGTTTTGCCGAGTTTTTTTCGACTCAACACCAGGAATCTTGCCGGTCTGGCAACCCAATCGATATTTTGGTTTCTGACTCGGTAAACCGGGTGAACGAGTGGAACGTCACATCTTTCAAGCATATTACTCCCTCTGAAGTGACAAATTTTTTAAAGAATTGCAAAAGCAAAAAATCGCCGGGTCCCAATGGCATAAATAACTGACTCTTGAAAAATTTGACGCAGAAGGCAGTGGTTTATATAACTTATATTTTTAATGCTTGTCTGAAAAACAGTTATTTCCCGAATTCATGGAAGGAAGCCAATGTTATATGTATTGCTAAGCCGGGCAAAAACAGCGCAGAACTGAGTGCATACAGACCCATCAGCCTTTTGGATTCGTTGGGCAAAATTTTTGAAAAATGTGTAAAGGATAGAATACAGGATTTCGTCTCTGACAAAAACATGATTCAACCAGAACAATGTGGCTTCATACCTGGCTATTCCACAAATCATCAACTCAAAAGAGTTACTTCTATGATTGAGACTAATTTCCGGGCGGGGGAGTCTACTGGTATGTTACTACTTGATATTAAAAACGCGTTCAAGTCGGTGTGGCACAACGGATTAATACATAAGCTGTATACACGAGAATTTCCGGTGTACTTGATTAGGTTGGTACACAGCTTAGTTAGCGTGTAGGTTTAATCTTATAGGTTATCAAGGTTTTTTTCAAATTTTCCTTGTACCTAATCCTTATCCCTTTTTGTAAAATCTAGTTTAATGTAATGTACATATTATACATTTATGTTGCAAAGGATACTTTCCTAAATCTCATAAAAAAAAAATCTGCTTTGTAATTGTTACTAAAATTTGTTTTTGGAAATAAAGAAACTTAAACTTAAACTTAAACTTAAGAAAGCCAATCAAAAAAAAACTTTATTATAGCAAAATTTATTGGTAGTCAAACCAATTGATACCGTTAGTGCGCGTTACTGCAACCAGTATAGCGTATAAAGCCGACACCGTTAGTGTGCGAAATTTCTTTAACCTTCTTTTCCTTTTTTTTTATTATAAATCACAATACAATTATTCACAGTTTCGAGTCCACAGTTTTAAATTGTTTTTATATTATTTCCTTATTTTTTTTTTTGAATTCATATTCTTAGGATCACAATTTTCAAATAATTCTCATTTTATTCCGAAAATCACAACTCCTTAATAAAATTCCGTATGTACCTCAAAGAAATAAAAGCTTAATAAATTTTGGCACCGTTAGTGCGCGTAATCCACTTAATTTTTTTGTGAATACAAATCAAAGTTTTAGCATATAATTTTAAATTTTTTAACACAGTTCGTTTTTTTTTCAATAATTTCATTTTATTTAAAAAATTATAGTTTGCTAGCAAATATTTTACTGATATTCAAAAAAAATATTGTCTATAAATTTGGCACCATTAGCACGCGTAATTTACCCAAATTTTTTTTTTGAAACCACAATGTTTGTTTGTACTTTTAAAGTAATTCACAGTTTCCGATAACCTCATTTTATTTGCCCCGAAATAGATTCGGCACCGTTAGTGCGCGTAATTCAACCACTTTTTTCGTATCAATTTGAATTTAATCATTTTTATTTTTAAGTTCATTGTTTTTAGGTAATTCTTTTTTGTTTTACAAACAGCAATTTGTAAGTAGAAAGTGCATATTCTAAAAAATACCTTTACAACGTTCGATAATTTACTGTTCACACTTAAATTTAAAGTAGAATTCACTTTCAATACTTTCCTTTATTTTTAAAGTTAATAATTATTAAATTGATTTTTTTTTTTAAAAACTCATATTGGATATATCAAACAAGTAAGAAAAACACTCTGTCCCTTAAAAACATTAATGAAATTAGACTTTTGCATTACCTTGATTTCCAGTGCTATCCTTGAATTTATTGTAAATAAGTGTTCGCCAATTTTCAAAAAAATACCAGCTTTCCGGCTCGAAGGAGCAAATGTTCCTTGTTAAAGGAACCCGCTAAGAAAAGGAAGAAACACCTGAATATATTGCAGCTATCGAACTCTTCAATTTCTCCTTTTCACAAATTATTGGATCTGCAGTATTTACTCTTTTTGTCGAACAAATCATACATAAAACCCTTAGTTTTCATTTTATCTTAATGCAAAAATTAAATATCACTCAAAAAAGAACACATTTGTTCATTTCGGTTCATTTATTCTCAATTAAGTTAATGTTCACTATTATGAATTAATGTCTATTGTCTGTACATATTTTTAATGTATGAAACAACACTTTTTTATCTTAATAAAATGTATATTTGTAAAACAAATTATTACTTTCTAATAAATTTCGAATTTATAATGTTTTATAATTGGATACAATTTAACAAACAATAATGCTTAAGAAATTAGAATTTAATGCTTAAATAAAATTAACTTTAAATTAAACTTTGGTAAAAATATTATGACAATACTCGCTGGTTGACTACACGTTTTCGAATGAATTCTGGATATTCGTTTTCGAATAATGTTAAAAATAGTGGTACCTTTTTGCCTCCAAATCTTGCCATCATCGTATCTTTTCTTGTTAATTTACCTTTTATTAAATACACCGGAATCTGCTATTACAATACTCTTTTATTATCTGGAAAAATTATCTGGAAAAAATTTGCAATTGTTCATTTGGATTGTATTTGAATTTGGTTTGTTAAAAAATTACTCGTTTATTCAAACTTGTTCCTTTAAAAATGTTTTCTAGTGAATCTCACATTGTTTCTTCCAATTTCACATAAGCATTCATTTTCTATAGTCAGCCAAAATTTGGTTGTATATATAGGTTTCCCTGTATTTTATTCTTCAAGTAATAGCTTCATTCGAAATAACCAATCTACATATTCGCCTCCTTTAAATGGTACAAACATGATATATTATGTTTGTACTGCATTTCAACCAGTTGCATTGCCATTTTGATTAAAATATTTTATTTTTCTTGCATATTTAAATATAAAAAAACATTATAGCACTTAACCTATCGAAGGCTTAACAATAAAAAGACTTTTATTTAATTTTAATTCGGAATAAAATACTTTTTTTTTATCTTATTTTTGCTTTATTTTAGCAAAAATAAAATAAAAAAAAAAAAAGTATTTTATTCCGAATAAAAGGAAGTTTTCTTTTCATACCAATAAAAAAAAAAGAATTATATTTTGGAAAAATTATCAACCATTGAAGAATTTTTTGAATTGCGACAAATTTTACATAGGACAAACGAAAAGGCCCATTACAACAGGACCTAAAGAACATTTACTTGAAGTAAAACGTTCAAGGAGAGTAGGTTTTAACTGGATTTTCGATTCTATGGTTGCAAAACATTTATGAAACGAATCTCACAATTACGGTATTAAGAGAGGTAAAGGAAAAACACAAGAGAGAAGTTCATGAAAGCATGCAGATATAAAAATCAAACAAGGATTGCCTACTGAACACGGACTAAAGTAACGCGGCTACTTGGCTCTTTAAATTAGTTATTTGACCAGTTTTAAGGTTTAAAACAGGTATAATTTTAGTTTGTAATTAATAACAAAAAAAATAAATAAATAAATAATAAAATTTTAGATTAAGTCAGGTATATAATTAGATTAAGTCAGGTATAATATTCCTTATTTTAATAGATTTTAATTTTTATTGTTTGCTGTCTTAATTAGAAGAAAATCGGCTTTGATAAAGTGCGTATGTAGCAAAATATATTAGCAAAAATAAAAAAGGATTTTATTCGGAATAAAAGGAAGTTTTCTATTCATACCAATAAAAAATTATTTATTTTTTTTCAAACCTATTTATTTATTCAAACCTATTTATTTTTCAACAAGTAAATAAAAAAGTATAAGATCTATTTAAAGATGAAATGAGTGGAAAAATTGTAACTGAATTTATAGGTTTAAGGTCGAAAATGTATTTCATTAAAACTCTACAAAATAAAAATATTAAAAAAACAAAAGTAGTTATGCGGTATATAGTTAATAATTTAAAGTTAGAAGATTACAAATCTGCTTTACTAAATAATTTAATAATATATAGAAATATGAAGGTTTTCACATAAAATAATTCTAAACCTACCTTTCAAGCTTTAAGAACTCTTTTAATCTTAAAAAAATTTTAAATTTAACGGCTTTCCTTTACCTCCCAATATAAAAGACTTAATATATTGCTTACTTTTAAATTTAAAAAAATTTAAATTTAACAGCTTTCTTTTTAATCAATACAAAAAACTTAAAATATCACATCAAGTTTTTCAAATTTTGAAAAGATTTTAAATTTAACGTCTTTTCTAAAAAACTTACAATTTTACCTGCTTTTAACCGAGGCAACAACCACTCTACAAAT